TTGTTGAATTTCTCTAAGGCCTAGACTGACTTTCCTATTTATGCCCATAGATATATTGTTCACAACCACATCAACTCCTGTCCCGTCCTTAACTTTCTAATTACTTTGATGTTTTCAGTAAATGACATACCTATCATATTGCCATAGTTTCTTGCCGCACACAATGATACAATGTTGATAATATTCAACGTCCACAGCAAAAACGTGGCTGGGAAAGTGTTTAAAGCCACTTAAAAGTTTCTCAAACGCCCACAAAATATTACATTAATTCCTGGACAGCGAGCTATCTAATTATAATCGACAATCTTACCAGTAGACGGTTAACTAGTGACTTACCAGCGCTGCGTGTGTACAGTACTTATTTCTCTCTAATCGGCTTTGTATGCTATTCCCCAGTCTACATACACTCACAGCACCTGTGTTGATACACTCCGTCACGTGACCCCAACGTCGTCAAGGAGTCACAGCCTCGCTTTCAATCTAACCCTTGTTTAGCTAACAACGGATTTATACTGATATATATCTATTTGTAACCATTTTATTGTGTTTATTTTTTCTGTGGTGGCTTTTTAATTTTTTTCGGGTTAAGAAAGATTATAGGAAACAGAAAAAATTGCGAGAATGACTATATTTGATTGATTGGCTTATAATGTATGGGATATTAACGATAGAGGCTATGGCAAGTAGGCTAGGCCCCTACTGGTAGGGATCGAGGGGCGGGGGCAGGGTGGAAACATTCTTTTGAGCGTTGACTACAGAGGCGTGAAAAAGTGTTATAATTTTTGAGAATGAGACAATTTGATGGTCATTTGTTGGTAGAAATTATGTTTTCCCTTTCCCAGATTTTTGTTACAGACATGAAATGTCTCAGCAGTGATTCAGGGGCTTTGAGGTTGGAAGGTTTAGAGGGTGACATAGACATGAAGCCCATAGTAATACATCGTAGTCAACATTTATTCATTCATTCATTAGCCTATTTATCTATATTTAGTTAAGCCTATTTCTAGGCCTATTTATTTACTCATCTTCAGAGCTTCCCATTAGTCTATCCTTAAAAAAAAAAAAAAAAAAAAAAATCACTACAGTGAGACAGTTTGATTAGGGGCTTGGGTTTAGTGAAACAGGTGTAACGCCCTATCTACTGCAGTTAAAGTTGTTTTTGGAGCGCACAACGTAATGACCTTGAGCCATATTTTTAGTTGTCTCCTCAGCTAACTCGGCTTGCTGCAATTCTAATGTAGCTGCTTTATTTTACATGTAGCTGAACGGTGGGATAAAAGCTTTTGACATCCATTTAATTACGCTATTAAATAATTACATTTGCTTTCGAAGCACAGACTGGCCATGCATGTCATAATCAGCTAAACTATTCTATTAAAAAAAAAATAAACTGGAGCGCTGAATGTTAGGCCTAGGATTTTATTATTGAACATGTAAAGGTGTTCATATTGCTTGGAAAATAAAATCCACGAACTAAATCACTTGATAACAGTATTAAATTCTAAAATTATAAAATTGATTATTTTATTGAACATGTAAAGGTGTTCATATTGCTTGGAAAATAAAATCCACGAACTAAATCACTTGATAACAGTATTAAATTCTAAAATTATAAAATTGATTATTTTAATTATTTGAGAAGTTTTATCATCTTTAAGGAATGCGTACACATGGAAAATGATACTTTTATGGTGTATTTTCAAGCACGGATAGCATACCTTTGAAAAAGGACTGCAACATTAAATGGATCACGTGCAGTACAGTCACAGACCCCATTCCCACAGATTTTAGATCGATCTATCCCTGTGGGGAATCTCCCTAGATTACTGTCAGCTGGATCGATCTAAATCTATGGGAATGCACTCACAGTCATGTCAAAGGGCACATTTCTTGGGTCAACTGATATAATATGTTAACTGTGCTATGAAATCTCTGCTTTGCTGAGGGGGAGGTCTAAAGTAATATATATATATACCGCTTTGAAAAGATGTCTGACGCGTATGACCAGAAATTCCCCCAGCCTAAACTGAACCAAGAGCACACCAAGGGGAGATTTAAGAACCACGTCGCCGTTATCACTGGTGGCGCGTCCGGCATCGCGCGTGAATGTGTGAAGCGTTTCGCCAGTGACGGCGCTTCCGTGGCGTTCATCGACATCAACCAAGATGGAGGGAAGGCTTTAGAGACAGACCTACGCGCGGCAGGGTACGACGTTACGTTTCACTACGTTGACGTGTCGAACAGGGACACGTGCTTTGAGACTGCGACGAAGATCGCGGATGCGTATGGAGGGTGTATTAACTACGTGGTGAACTCTGCGGTGTATTTTGGATCCAAAGGTGATACATGCAGTCTTCTATCTGCATATTCTTCATAAAAGCAACAGATGGATTAACAAACTGTTGCATGATATTGCAATCGGAACGCACTATAGTTATGACAAGTACTGCCATTTTATACTTAATTAAGAATACATGAGCGACGGGTCTTATTTAGGGCACTACGTTTAGACACAACAGAAATAGAAATCAATTCAAGCTAGATAAGATACCCCACACGTTTTATTATCAAAATATGTGCGTCTTGTGGTCGCTTGTGCATATTTAGATAATGCTAAAGGTCAATCTTGAAGCGGGCCCTAGGATACATGAGTATTTATTGTGCTGGGTTTTTGGCCTATATATTACTTCAGTCTTAACTCATTGTGTGTGAGTGCGCGTGTGTTTGTTCGACTCTTTTTTTGCACAAATAGATACAGTGTATGAACAGAGAACGGATAAAAATTGTTGATAAATAGAAAAAAAATGATAGAAAAATTACTCATATAGGCACGTTTAGGAGGATTTTTTTTTCATATTCCTAAATACATAACACATTGAAACATAAATGTGGCCACATTTAAACATCTAATCAAAATTTAAAAATATATACACAATACACTATATACAATATACTACATGTACCTGAACAACCATTTTCAGGGAATTCTTTCAGGAAATATTCATTTTCAGGAAAAATATTATCATTTTCTGGGCGACGTACAAATGACATCAATATAATATTTGAATAGCTCCAATTTCTTAATTTCTTAATTAATCCAGCGCTTGACGCAGAAAAAGATGACTGGCAGAAGACGATGAGTGTCAACGTCCAGGGCGTGGCTAACATGGTCCAGGCTTGTCATCCACATATGAAGAAAGGTCAGTCTCCGTAGGTCCGATATGTCAAAATAACCTCATCCAGATAATAGATATTATCTTTTATACAAAAATTTATTCTACTTTACCAAAGATAAATCAGTTGCACCTGTAGTCCAAGCTGTTTATAACAAGAAAATGTTTGAGACAAGTATTTACGGACCACTATGTTTATCTACATCTACAACTGAAGTAGACTTAAAGTTTTGATTCGTTTTTATTGGGGCTAAAGTTCTCTTGTGGGGCAGGCTCCTGGTATATTTTAGCCTACCCTCTAATCCCTGGGTCACTACCCTACTGCAAACGCCAAAAAGGTGAACGGCACAGGGTTGTCCAGGTTGGCAGTCCTTCAACTACTCTCTCTCTCTCTCTCTCTCTCTCTCTCTCTCTCACACACACACACACACACTTTTTTTATCAGTTCTGTAGTACTGCCACCCTTGTCAGGTGACGGTATATCGCCATTTTTACAGAAAATATTAATAAAGGCAAAATGTCCGTTTAGGAATGTAGTGAAAAAAAAAACTTAAACTGAGGCAATTCGGAGAAGGGTCATCCTCGACACTCTCAGAATCTCAGATTGCAGTTCGGCTTCTTTGAAAACTTATTTTCTACTTATCTGGCCTGTTTTCTGTTGCTGCTACTTTTCCTAGATTTTAAAACTCTAAGCTCCTTTTTTATATTTCCTTTTCTGTATAGCCTCCGAGGGCGACCGCGCCATAGTGAATATCGGCAGTATCTCCAGTCACATCGCCCAAGTGACCAGATGGACATACGCGTCCAGTAAGGGGGCCATCCTGCAAATGTCCCGGTGTATGGCACTTGATCTCTCTAATGACGGTATACGAGTTAACACAGTGTCTCCGGGATGGATTTGGTCACCAGAGGTAAGGAGAGAGAGAGAGAGATTATATACTAGTGTATAACTTTATATTGAAAAATCCTGACCATCAACAATGGATAGGAATCATATTATTACATTTCCCTATTGCGTTATATATGTTTAGGATACCGAATTAAAAAAAAAACTTTCCAAACATCTTTGAACCGTCGCTGAAATGAAATCACGAGTGTTTTCACCTTTTGCTTTTAATTCGATGTTCTTAAGTTACCATCTGTCATCATTTTATTTCCTTGCAGTCTGCTAAGGGCGTCAACTTCGACAAGGCAAAATGGAACCCTATCTGGGGCAAATTCGATATGCTCAGCCGCGTTGGTGAAATGGCCGAGGTGGCTGCCACCGTGGCTTTCCTGTGCAGCCGTGACGCTTCTTTTGTGACGGGGTCCGACGTTGCCGTGGACGGAGGCTACATGACCATGGGACCCGAGAGACACGGCCTGGACGGGTCAACTGCGTCGTGGTAGGAAATTATTTTCTGACCCCGACGGATGCGGCCCGGAGGGTCTCCTGCCCTCTTGGTTGGCGCCATTGTAAGAAAAGTGCAATGAACACAAATTCTGGGGAATTCGAGACCAAATAGTCGAAAGGAAAACCATTATCCTAGGTTGCCCATGACAGAAGGGTAGCAGAAACAAGTGTTCATTTTGACAAAGGGTTAGACCAATTCACATTGCATTCCATTAGTGATTTAGCAGTTTGGAGAAATCGAACGATCTGACAACTGTGCCAGTTCAAGGTAGTAGCTATAGGTTGAATGTATACGTGACGGTTCGTAACTACGTGTATGACAATGGTATAACGAATTTATTGTAACAAAACAATTTACATCAAAGTAAAAAAATCATGACTACAATTGAAATTTAAGTAACATTTACAGTTTATAACGAGAGAGAGAGAGAGAGAGAGAGAGAGATGGTGTTCAAACTATAGAAATAATATGAAATTTTGCAATGTCACATATTTTTTCCTTTCTTCTTCAGAATATTTTCTTTGGCGCATTTGAACTCGGACCTCATAAAGAGTACATTATGCTTTCATATTTACCATATGTGATTGACAACATTATAATTACACTTTATATCCCGTATGAAATGTCAACCCTGACTTTTTTTTCATCATAAACATTTGAAAATTTTAACAAAATTAGGAAGATCCCGTCAGCGTCGAGAACTTGTATATAACTCTATGTTTGTACACAGATCCGGGCCTTAGCACGGAATCCGGAAAATTTTCCTGAAAAAAATAAATAAATTACATTACAGTACAATTTGTTTATAGAAAATAACTTCCACTTAAGTTCAGACAAAAAAAGAATAAAAAGCAATCACATAATATGTATAGACTGTTATGACCAAAAAAAAAAAAAAAAAAATGCAGAAGAAAACCTAAATGAATTTCAATTTCACCTTTAAATTTCTTCGACTAGGGAAAGAAAATATATAGGGCACAATATGTTGATCATAGCGCGACTTAAATGATTAAGATGTAATATGACCTACATTATTAATAGCGTCTGGATAATTCTGTGTCTCTAGACATAACGCAGCAAACTGCGGGTAGCGTACGCCGCCCTTCCCTATCTCTTCCGTGCTACCGAAGTGGATACTGGAGTACAGCTGAACGCCTGGCTGGTCGGACAAGACCTCCAGCACGCGGCCTGATGCCTCGTGAACAACCCTGAATGTAAAGAATTTGATAAAATCGAGAATGAGCCGAGGTTAAATTTACCCTGTATTTCAAAGGTCACTGAAAACTCGACTCATTGATAATATCATCATCCCTCTAATGGAAAAGACAGTGGCATGCAATGAGTAGAGAGATGAGTTTCCAGTGACCTATGAAACTCAGGACCTCTGGGTTAAGGGAAACTTTACCAAAATGACTCGTCGGTAAATGATTGCACATTTCCCATTTCTGTTTGGGATCTTGAAACAATTGGTTAGGCTTTGTTGTGTTCGTAGACCTTCTTGGTGCTACAGATACGCGAAATTTGATTCTGATTGCGTTATTGCTACAAGGCGCAACTAACGCATCCTGGATGCATCAGTAAATTACACTTTATAACAGATAATAACAGTATACAGTAGATGATTAACTGGCACAAAAATAAATTTAAAAAAATGCCTATAAATACCTGGCCATATACTTCAGACCCGTCGTGCCGTTTACACAGAAGTTATGGTCGTAGCCACCGCCTGGTATACTAGCAAGGCGTGCGTTACTTAGCAGTGTGGGTTGTCGTAGGTCAAACTGCGTCCCCTGCACTGGGGCTATGACACCTGTAAAGAAACGAGCTCATTAGTCTAGTATCAAACTACGACACAGTCGGTACAATGTAGCCTATAGGTTCAGGGGCCTGTTATACTGAAGAATTTGGTCTTAATGTAACCGTCTTTGGTTACCTATTTGTTAAGTGGCTGGTACACAAAAGGAACGCAGCAGCCAACGTTGTAGTTTCTAGAAGTCTTTGTTCCTCATACACGGGCTATAGGTCTGGCACGCAGACATAAACAGCCTCGACGATCTCCCCGGGGTCTCTCTGTCTACATCTGAGTGATGTAAGAGCTAGCGTCTTTACCTACCGTCTCTCGGCCGTCTCTCTCTCTCTGCACCTGGGAGTAACGGACTTTATACAGGAGATCACACCGATTCCTGTATGCCACTATTCTATCAAGCGTGTCTTATAATAAAGTAAATTTGTCATCTTCCAGTACTATTATTTTCATACAAAGATACTGGCTAAATAACATATTTTACTTTGCTCTATCTTTGTTTATATGTTCGTGTCCAGTGGTAAAACAATATCAATAAAACAAAATGCTAGGTTGCATTATATCTTTTAGTTGCCCCAAACATTAAATTTATTCCGCGGGTAGGAAGGTTACATAACGCTCGGACCTGGGGTTGGCTTTAACCAAATTATCTCAGGCAGGCCCGTAGCCGGGGGG